CCCTGGGGGCCCCGACGCGACAAGTACCCCGCCAAGGTCCCGGCAGGTGCCCGGCAGGGCCCCGGCGAGTGCCCGTCAGAGATGCCGGAGGCCCCCCAGACGGCCCCTTTTCTCCTGGCCGCTGCCCTCGACGCTCTCCGGAGAGCCCCAATAGGAGCCAAGAAGTCCCCAGGACGCCCCCAAGATAGGACTTGAGGGCTCCGGAGATGCCACAAGGTCGCCCTAAGACGCCCACCATGGCCTCCAGACGCCCTAAAAGGCCTCCAAAAGCACTCCCAAGAGGGCCCCAGAAGGCAAAATGAATTGATTGCCGGTAGGATTGGGACACATTTTGGGGTTTCTCCTTACAAGATGGCCCAAGAGGCTCCCAAGATCGCCCCAAGAGGGCCCAAGAGAACCCCAAGACAGCCCCAAGACGGCCCAAGATGGCCCCAAGACAGCTCAAGAGGCGCCCAAGACGGCCCAAGAGAGCCCCAAAACGGCCCCAAGAGGGGCCCAAGAAGGTGACCAGGAACCGAAAAGTGTCCAGCCTCCAGCTCCAAGAGGCCCCCAGGAAGCCCCAAGAGGCCCCAAGAAGCCCCAAGGGGCCCCCAATAAGCACCCCAAGAAGCGCCAAGAGGCCCCCAAGAGGCCCCAAGAGGCCCCAACACGGCACCCAAGAGGCCTCAGAACCGGCTCCCAAAGGCCCCTGAGAGGCCAACCACGAGAGCCCAACCAACATCCGTGAGGCCTTTGACCCGCCACCCACCGCCTCCGAAAAATGGCAACCGCCCAACCGCACCGCATTGACAACAACACCCCGACAAACGACAGCGGCGAGGCAATATGGGCCGGCGGAATGAGCGAAGCGGTTCCATCCGCCCGCCCACCGGGCAGAGGGGCGTGTGAGATTTAACTACGAAAGCTCCTTCCAGAGCTTCGCCCCCCCCCCCCCCTTTTCCCCCCCCGGACGCATCCGCCATTCTGCCGCCCGGCTGTGCTCCATCCCCTTTTCCGGCCCCAAGACGGCTTCCAAACGGCGTCCAAGACGAGTTCGATTTTCACACCGCTTGCAATACACTTTTCGGGCGCATTTGGGTTCTATTTTGGCTCCTTCGGGGCCCCTCTGGGGGTCCAAAATCAACTCCTGGGGCCCTCAAGAACGCTTCTTGGGCTCCACCACGCGTACAGACTGGAAACCTCAAAAATAGACCCAAAAACACCAGTTTGGGATGATGTTCGCCTCGCCGGGGATCGCCCGGACGCCTCTCCTGGCTGACTTCCGGGCTCGCCTGGGGCATCTTTCAGCGCGTACACTTCGACACCGTCTTTGGACACGCTCAGGAGACAATTTTGGACGATCCCGGGCTCAACTTAGGCCCCCAATCGGGGCCCAAGACGGCCCAGAACCGGCCAGGTTTTTACCGAAGACGGACGGGGCTGCGGTCCCATGCGGGGATGCTCACGCTTGGGTCGTCCAGAAGCCCGCCTGGGCCGCCTCGGGCTCGTCTTGGGCCCCTTTTGGGCCCTTCTCGGGGCCCTCTTCGGCCCTCCTTGGCGCCATTGGGGCCGTTTCCGAGGCGTCTTTGGCTGATCTTCGGCGCCGTTCTGGCTATCTCTGGCCTCCTACAGTGGATTAGGCATCCTGGGGACAACCATCCGGGCCACCCATCGGGAGAACCATAGAAAAACCATCGGGGCTGCCACGACGTCAACCATCCGGCCCAACGACACACATCGGAGCAAACAGAGGGCCATCGGTGTTTTTCCCTTGCGTTCGGCCCGTTTCGGTTGACCTTGAGCAGTGCTCGGCTATTTCGGGCACCCTGACGTCGATGTGGCGCAAGGATGCGGAAAAGCCAACCTCCAGATCACTGATCCGTTGATAATGGCGGCGGACCGCAGGCGAAAGGACAAAGTAACCATCGATGGGCCGCGCGGCATACCTGAGCCCAATAAGCGATGGGATGAAAAAGGAATGACACCCACGAAAAGACAACAAACCGCACCTACGGGGTCTTGTGCTATTTTCCGTCTATGTTTATCCAGTCTTGCAGCTGCCTCGCCTCATCCGGCGAGAGCAAGAATGGGCGGGCGGTGAACGCGAAGCGTCTTGAATAAGTGTTGATGCTTGTGTCGGCAGATGGTGCAGCGAAGACAACTCTCCTCCTCATCCTCCTCCTTCTTCTCCTCCTCCTTCATCCTCCTACCTCCCTCCTGCTCTGCCCCCGCCTCCTCATCCACATCCTCTCTCTCTCTCTCTCTCTCTCTCTCTCGATTTCTCTCTCTCTCTCTCTCTCTATCTATTTCTCTCTCTCTCTCTCTCACTATCTCTCTCTAACTGTGTTCCCCCTCTCTCTCCTTATCCTCATCCGAGCACTCATGCTAATCCTCGACGTCCTCGTCCTCATCCTCCTCCTCCTCATCCTCATCATCAGCATCACCAGCATCATCATCATCATCATCATCATCATCATCATCATCATCATCATCATCATCATCATCATCATCATCATCATCATGGTCATCATCAGCAGCAGCATTATCATCATCGTCATCAGTATCCTTCTTTTCTGCCTCCTCTTCCTCCTTCGCCACCTTCTCCTCCTCCTCCTCCTCCTCTGCCGCAAATCCTCCTCATGCCTGTGCAGCTCTTTCTCCTCAAATCCTCCCCCTTCCTCTCCTCTCCCCGACCCTTCT